AATTGGATTTATACAAGCTCAGAGGAAAAAAGTTGGGTTTTTTTTTTTTTTTGAAAGAGGGTCAAATTAAAGTCTATTTAGGGGAAATTTTACAGACTTCAGCATGATGGCACAGATCAGCTAGAACAACTTACTATGCTTTAGAATAAGTCAAAGAACATTACTGGAAAAAAAGTCAAGCTTATTACTATTTCATTTTATATATAAGTGGCCACATCTGGGTAGAGTAGTATCACTCTAAGAAGCAGCATCAGTGGTGGACATTAAATTGCCAGGTAATGTTACACTTTACAACCTAGTTAGCATAGTAATCTTAGAACAGATAAACTTACAAACATTCCCTGTATTCATTAATTGTTCCGCTCTAACAGGAATCTAGGAGACGAAACAAAGCAACACAATGGATAGAAAAAAAAAAAGCCTCTGAGGTACACATTCAGAGGGAACTGTCATCTTAATAGGCTACTCCCAAAGTTACATAGTTAATTTGCCAAGATTGGGATCTCAGGATTCAAGACTACTTCTGAATCATTAGGAAGACTCTCTGAAAACAAAAGGCAAAAGGATGGAAGATCCACCAGTGACCTTAAAGAAAGCAACACATTTTATTGGAGCACTTTAATTCTAAAGTAATTCCAAACCTGCAGATAAAAGCAGTCTTAGACTTCACCAGGCAGGCTCCCCAACACTCTGACACTAAAACAAACAACTCTGGAAACCATCATTAAGAATAGTTAGGTTACCACACCCCACCACTCACTCAAGAAAGGCAGCTGTAGTGATTGAACCCAGGGCCCTTCAGCTGAGGTAGCTGGCACTGTTAGAAGGGGACTACCAGCTAGAGCGCAGTCAGAGAATAGGACCTGTGTACAGCTAGGCCAGAAGTGGTGAAGTGAAAATGAAGAGATGACTTCAAAGACAGCAAGTGGACTCAACAATTGGTCATCATGATAAAAATGTTCTTATGCAAGGCCACCATAAGTCAGCAACATGAGAACTGCAAAACTAATGCAAAACACAACAACAAAGGAGTAACTGAAATGATACAATTCCATTTTGTTCGAACTACCATATGGAACCAAAGGTCCAAAGTTAAGTATTTACTAAATCACTGAAATCCACAGAACTGCTCTTGAAATAAGTATCTACACTCACCAGTACTTGTAGGTGCAGACCTTGAATACCGTATTGGAACATTCAACAATAACATTTTAAAAAAACAAAAACAAACCAAGCAAACAAACAAAAAACCCCCCAAGAGCTAATCAGCTCTTAGGGGTTTATAAGCTCTATAGCCTTATCAAAAAGACTATAAAAACCTACTTGTAAGTGCTTACAATATACTGTCAGTAACTCTTATTCTGCAAGCAGATCTCAAAAAAAAAAAATCATCAGAAGATATTTCAACAATATCTCAACCACCTTGCAATAACTGCAAAGATGAGAATATCATTAGTTAATAGTCAAGGCTAGTAGTCACCACAGGTAATGACAACAATTTCTATGTATTTCAGCATTTTGTGAAACCATTTCAATAAAGTTTAAGTTAGCAAGTCAAACAAGACCTCATATAGCATATATTTACAGCAGTTTCACAACATACATTACAAGAAAGAAACAAAAAGGTAACCTGGGTTCATAGAGCCATTCTCCACAACCTGACAGCCAAATCAATTTACCTCCTGAATTCCACATGCCATCAGCAAATTCACATTTTACAGTACAATAGAAAGTTAATTGCAACCACCACATGGTGAAAGCAGTAAGTTTGAACTAAATTATTTCACCATTGTTTGAAATGGATCAGTGATGAGGCCCCTTTGTCACTACAATCAACTGTTCCTAGATAAACACAGATTAGTTAACTACACTGTTTCAAGGAATTCAACACTTTCCCATGTCATAGAGATGTAGATGGAAGCAGTCTGCACATTTATACAAGGAAGGTCACATTTCCCATTCCTTTAAGTCACATGGTATGCTGACATCTAGGCAGCATCTGGATAGCAAGTGGGACACATCTTGATACACAGGAAGCACTTACTAGGAAAACCAGTGTTAAGGAAGATCAGCATTCGCCTTCCGATCATAAAACCACCAAACTCTGAAGAGTAGTAAGAGAATGAAAATGAGAAAAACAACAAACCAAAAAATTCTCTCACACCTGGTATGAGAAACAAGCTATCTAACCATACAACAGGAAATAACTTTCCATAATAGTGATTCTCTCTCTTGGCTCAGCTTCACTGAACAGCTTTTGAAAGATGGTTTTTAAACCACTTTGTTGAATTGGTTTTAGTCATCTACAAAAACATAGTCTCATGCCATACCATCAAGAAGTCAAGTTTGATCTGTCTAATACCTGGGGAAAGAAAGGAAAGGAGGCAAGGAAAACCAAAATAAAAGCATGAAAAAAGTTTACAGCAACAGGCTTCATTAAAAAAAAGTCTGTTTCTTTTCTTCAGAAAATAGAATCTTACTGAAAATCTTTCATTTGTCAAACATTAAGCAAATTATGCATTACATTAAAAAACCACTTTAAAACAGCTATTGCATCAGCTAGATGTTTACAGATCTGAACATGTCGAAGAGTGTATCTTGGCAACAGATAGCAAGGAAGGATACAGGGTAAGGAGTCAATGGAAGAATACTACTTGGATCGAGAAAATACACAAAAAGTATTGAAGTATAAGATCAAGTAAAAGTGTTTATTACCTTTAGGACTTTATATTTTAATTGGTGATTTCATAAATATTTAGAACTACACTGAGTCATGATTTACTTGATTGAAGATTCATTGAAAAGTTATTTCTTGTTAGAAGAAATTCGTTAATTTCTAACACCTTCCAGCAAGCTGATCACTGAGACTGCATTTCTTGCAGTTGCCTTTTTCCTCAGTCTCACATCCCAATATGAAAAAGTAAACAGTTTTACAACAGAAGATTTTACTAGTACCTGGTTTTTAATTTGGTTAAACACAGCCTAGCATTACCAACAATGACAAAAACACTAAGTGTCTTCACTTAGTGGTACCAAAGACACAAAGATTTGGCAAGTTCTTCAACTAGATCAGCTCCTCATGGAATACTGGGACCCACAGTATTGATTTTTGACCAACTCATCAACACAACCAAGACAGGAATAAAAATCTTCTAGGTGTCATAGAAAAGAACACCATTGCAAGCTATAGCGAAGATGCTATAAACAAGAAACTTCACAAAGCTAATGAAGCAGAGCTGAATTTTACGGAATAAAATTCAGTTCTAGCAACAGAACTATCATGTACCAGTTAAGAAACATGACTATTTTTAAGTGATCCATTATTTAAACAGATGTGTTGCGGATGGTCATTTTGTTTATTTTGCTCTTCAGCCTAAGAATCAGCTTAAGTATCCAAAGGCCTATTCTGAGGCACCAGCTGCATACCTCAGTACATTTCACACTTTTACTAAGAGAGCAATAATTTCAAAATTTGGTGGCTATCATAATGAATGACTAATTAGCTACAACTGGTAAACTAGCCTAGTGGCTTTACCAGTATTGCCTTCAGGTTGTTAAATGTAAAAAAAAAACCTCTGACTGCTGCAGGAATCTACTGATATATCAAGTTACAGACTTTTGCTCGGACTTTCCATCTAGAAGTAGTACAGTTGGCTCAGGAGCCATGACGTAGATACACATTCCAAAATGATCTTGTAACTTGGATGACTCCACTCAAGTTTTATGTTGTTGTAAACTCATTATTATAAATTATTTTCTCCTCACTGGTTAATCAATGCTTGTTAATGGGGATGGAAAACAAAGCAGAAAAAAAGTATTAATATATGATCCATAACTCTAGCATTGAAGTGTAGTATTTATTTCTATCTCGGTAAAAGCTGTATGATTATGCCATGCCAGTGCTTCTCCACTAGAAGCTTCCAAAGCAAAGTAGACAAAGACGACAGAGCTAGGACATTCGTTACTTTAGGGCAGCGCTCAGATATTAACAGAAGCCATGGCTATCCATGTGTATATGACTGAATAAAGACCACGTCTTTAAATATAATCTTTGAAAGATGAAACATCTACTATGAATTACAGTAACATGTCTAGAAAGCAATATAAAGCATGTCTTAGCACCTTCAGCATTCACCCTTAAGTTACAACCCAGATATAAGTCTGTTCCATGGCAGATCACTTTAGATATGCTCAAACTACCTTCAAACGTTATTTTGGTTTTACGTCATAAGCAAGCAAAAAAATAAGCCATATTCATTGAAGCCAGAAGGGGGTGCTCTGAATAACTGAGGTGGGGGGTACTGAACTGAACATTTGCCTTGTGTTAGGAGAGGTCAGAAACATGCTGTCTTGTTTTAGTTTGGGAGCTCACTTAAGTTCACGATGCCATGCCTTTTTTACAAAAAAGGAATCTGAAAAGCAGGAGCGCTCCTTGTAGCAAAAAGGAAACGTTTCGGTTTGTGCTATTGTCATCACAAGGGCAAATTAATCTGTGACAGAAAACTAGCAACGAAAAGACCTGGCAAGTGTTAATTCCAGTTTTGCATCCCATGATTTGTGAGCTGTTTAAGATACTGACAAGGAGACATAGGGAACGAAAAGAAATCCAAAAAGCCTGTGCTATGGTTTTTACCTACACAATGCCTATTCTGACATAACTAGTTCAGGTTTTTTTAATGTGACTGCTGAGTTGATACCTTACACCAAACTACATCCTGAAATGAAAGAAACGGCCCTAGATCATTCTGCAAGTGTAATACAGTATTTCATCTCTGCCAGCACTTTGATGCATCAGCCTCCCCCCATCCAAAAAGAGAAAAAGATATGCACATTCCAATCAAGCCTCTCTCAGCGGGGCTCACCCAGTTCCCCCCTTCCTTTCCTCCCTTCCTCCCTCGCCCCAGGCCTTGCCTGGTTCCCAAATCCCCTTTGATTTTAGGTTTCATTTTGTTGTAAACAGCAAAACGAAAGGAGAAAGCTTCCAAAGCGAGGATCCTTACCCTTGAAATCCCGCCATGCGCGCAATAAGGAGGGTGAATTGTTTTTCCTCTTTTTTTTGGATGGGAGATGAGGGGGGAGGGGGAAGAAACAAAAGCTTAAACGGAGGAAAGACTAAGCGGCGGAGACAGAGGGAGAAGGCGGAGACCCTGGTGGAGGAGCAGGGCGAGCGTCAGCCATGTTGTGTGTGTGTTGGTCCAGTATTTACAAACCTGCAGCTGCAGCAGCGCTTGGAGTCTGGGAGAGAGGGGAACGAAGGGAGGGAGAGAGGAAGGCGAGGAGGGAGGAGAGGCAGGCACAGAGAAAGGGAAGGGAGGGAGGGAGGAGGGGAAAGCGGCAGCAGCAGACAAAGGATCCCAGCGCAGCCCGAGCGGAGCGCGCACACACTCGCACACACTCACACACACGGGGTGCCTCACACCGCGGCAGCGCTGCCCGCAACCC